CTGAGGTTGCGAATCAGCTCAGCGCGCGGGAGAGGAACAGCATGTGGACCGGGCTCATGTGATTGGCGCAGAAGTTCAAGGAGAAGGACACTGGCGGAAGGGACACCGTACGTGAGGACCTGCATTTATTAGTAAATGTTTCTCTTCCGTGAATGGCAACCGTGGATGACATACTATCCAAGAAAAGTGCCGGTCTAGATCGACCATTGGGGTTCGGAATGAATTAATCTGGATGACGATTGCTAGTACCCGACGAGATACATCGCAAAGATCCGCCTGTCCGGTGTTTGTGTGCTTCACGACTGCTCGGTAGAGCAGAAAGCAAGTGTATAGATAATCCAAATAGAAATAGGCAATGGCAAGCCACCCATCATGGTAATGGTCGTTTAATCGCCGGTCATATCGAAGCTGATCCGGGGTGGATTGCCATATGGCGCGCGATTTTGCTTGGATCTCTCTGTTATAAAACGATCGGGTCAGCACTAGGAAAACACGTGGATTGGACGAGAAGATATACTGACTCGGACTTCTGGGTTAAATTATGTTGCTCGCGGGTCCCCAGAACAACCTCAAGGGTTTCTTCCCGAATGATAGCCAACTGATAGCGTAGGCGAGCTTGGCTTACTGGGTGTAACTCCCCTTTACTATTCCACCCGGCGCTGTTCAACTCCGAAATAGCCTTACTAAGAACATCTCCATCTGCAATCAGGACTTCATCGCTCAGATCTAATGGAGCAGCGAGTGTGCAGAATCGACCATTCATCAATGGAGGTCGTCCAACAAATGTTGCCATCATTTTGTCCATGTAGAAGGCAGCAACAAAGCAGCGCCTCCGCCACTGGCGAAGAAAGAATGGGCAGTTCTCACTGCTATCGGTCTCTAAGTGTAGTCCAGCTGCATAAATCGTGGATACCAAGTCACCCAATCGACGCCATGCCTGATAGCCTAACAGGGGTCAGTAAATTGATAGGAGTTGAGATCAAAAAGAAATGGTAAGCCTTACTGGAATCACCGTATTGTTGTGTTCGCAACATAACATCATTGAATTGTAACATTGCCAGTAATTCATTGGCCGACGATGTCTGGTCACAGAAACCAAGGCATATTGTACTTATCACAGTCACCTGCTCTAGTAACTGGTTTTTTGCTTGGGGGTCATCCGAGCCCTGCATAATTTCCGGGTCGTTGTCTAGCGTAATGACCAATTGCATTCCGCAAAGAGTGAATATAGACCCGAGGGCCTCCCAGCGGAGGTTGCGACCGGTGAAAGAGGAACAGTACTCCTCGACTGACATAGACTTGTGCGTCCGCATCGGGCGGGAGGTATTTTGAAATATTCTATTCGCCAACTCTTGTAGTTGTGCCGTCGGACTACTGGAGAAACCGTCAAAGATATCGCGCACCGAGTGCAGGAGTTCGTCCACTATCCTTTTGGGCACGATGGTGCCCCATGTCCGAATATAGAATCGTGTAATGAGCATATCACACACGGTAAAATTATACAAAAACCGCAGCACATCAACCCCAGATTGGAGTCGAGCGGGTTCCACTACCAACCCCGCGGAGGAATCTGTGCTCTCCTCAGCTTCGAACGAAACCTCACTGCGATGCTCAGTTAAAATGGCAGAGTAACTTGTCGAGCCCAGATATCCAGGAGGAGCTGAGGGTGGTTCCAATGGTGCGAAGAAACGCCCATTCCCCAGTGAGGCTGAGCCCGGGCTGGAAGCACTGTTTCTACATATTAGTATGTGCCTATCATCTGTTGCAGGAGATAATTACTTTGAGGTTGGTTGACTAGTCAGTCGACGAGAAACTATCGCGGGATTGGCTGTATCAGACGGTCTCCGCCTAGTCATCGGAGCTGGATGATAAAAACATTTATCGCTAATTCTCTTTGCGGTGCATCGGCGACAGACCGGCCGGTCATGGTCACATCGCTGTTTGGATCTCCGACAGGGTTCACACGACTGCAAGGTGCCATTTTTGCGCGTTGCCGGCGATGCAGAACGCCGATCGTCGTTTCTCATGGCTAGAGAACCAACGCATAGAGGTATGTATGATCAATGAAAGAAAGGGACCCCGGGAAAAATGATACCCGCGATGGTTGGCAGTTTGGCTCGTCCAAATTAGGCTTAGCGTGCCATATCTAAGAAATCCGAAGTATGAGACAACGAGACAGTCAAACTATAGAGGGATATAGACGCCTTCACTATACTAAATTCTTTACGTTTTACTGAATTTCAAAGACTCGGCGGTGATACATACGTAGCTTCGAATTTTTGCTTCGCTATCGTATTGCGTCTTTTCTTCACACAGATATGCTAATACCTAGAATGAAGTATGTTTTATTCGAGATAGCCGACTTTCCCTTGAACTTGGATTGCGTGGAGCCTTGTGTTCTATCATGAATAGCAAATGATCAAGGACAAATGATGTTGTTTGGTTCAACACTCCGAAGCTGGACACCGGTACATGTACATCCCGTTAATATATATCAAACTGTCCAACCAGGCAAAAAGTCGAAAACAACCCTTGGAGTTAAGCACCGAAAAGCCCCTTGTTTGCTTCCACCCAGTCTTCGAACTTTGTGGAAGGCTTCCCTGTATACAATTCCACGTTCTCCACACCAGTTTTGTAGCATGCACGGTCTGTAAGCTCGTTCGATGTGCTTGCAGACTTTTGGACCATATATTCTGCTAATGGTTTATGCATTCCATGTGCAAGATACTCGTTCAAGGCCTCCTCCTCGTCAATGATAGTAAGCTTAACGTCCTTGCCGATGATCTTTCCAATGGCCACGATAGCGTCTCCTTGGGCGATGAGCCGTGGGCCATACAAATACACCTTCTTCTGGTCGTTCTTTGGCCCTTGTACCAAGATCGTGCCCCCCACACGGCCCATATCGCCGGGCGTGATGCAATCAAATTGGAAACCAGGGGCCCAGATCTTTACCTCACCAGCTTCAATCCCCCCTTTGAAGCGCAGCAAGTTCGTGACAAAGCCACCGGGTCTCAAAGCAACGTAGTTTTCAGGTCCAAAGATCTCATCGAGGCTGAGCTCAACCTGGGCATGGATGTAAGGGATGAGCTCGGCAGGAGTAACGTCTTTTGACTCTCCTGCGATAGTGTAACTGCTGAGGAAGACAACAAATTCAACGCCGGCGGACTTCATTGCTGTGAGGGTGGCTCTCATGTGATCAGCGGACCCGAAAGTAACATATGTGAATGCACGCTTTGCCCCCGACGATTTGACGGCTGCAGCGACGGAGTCGGGGTTGGCCAAGTCGGCTTGGATTCTTTCAAATCCACCTTCTTGTTCTTGCTCTGTGCTCAACCCAGGAATTTGCTTCTGGGTGTCTCGCATGGCCAGGAAAACCTTAGCGCCATGCTCTCGGGCAGTGAGTGCCGCGACAGAGGCGACACCACCGGTGGGGCCAAAGACGATCACAGATGACATTGGGAGGAGATGGTCAAGTAAAAGGGTTTATAATATATCAGACAAATTTATAAGGCGAAGCTTTATGAATAGACTGGGGACACTTGGCCATTTATAGGGGAAATTAGGTAACTCCTCATCCACCCGCGGGCTTTAGATATTATCTCCGGGGACTCCCCAAAAGCTAACTCCGGCCCTAGTGATGGAGATAATTCAAATAAGAGAAGGTTCTCCGAGAATTTATGACATCTAACCAAAAGAAATCGCGGTTGACTGCTATTGAAGCTTAGGTGTATACATTTATCTATTGTCTATATATCTTACTTGGACATGTTCTGTGTTAGAAGAGGCACAGCTAAAAGTTATCAAACACTAGAACAATTTTTGATATGATATATACTACCTTTACTGACACTCTGCAATATCCTTTCTCATAAAAACCGTCCTTGTATCCCAAACCTTCCCATTTCTATCCGGGTCCCGATAATAGTCCTTCACAGTCTTGATCAATCGATAACCTCGACGATCATACCACTCCTCGTTCGTGGTCTAGAAACGATCAGTTTCTTGACCGAGTACATCAAACTGTAGAATCAGACTTACCTTTGGAATACCACCATATGTTACCTTCGCAAAATCTTCTCTTTTCTGATCATCTTTCTGAACCGTGTCTAGCATCAATATCTTGGCTAGTAGTGGCTCTCGGACTGCCATGGACTCAACCTCATCCATTGCAGCTCGTCCAATTCCCTGGCCCTGGATGGACTGCCTGATGTAGAAAGTCTTTATCCAGAAGACGTTCTCGGCAGGCAGGTTAAGCTCAATGTGCTCTGCATCGGGGTTCTTGGAATCCAGTGAAATGTGGCCAATAGGGACGAAGGTTTCTTTTGTCGGCTGACGCGAGACAGCATTGATTGTTGTGGCTGTATCTTGAAGGATTTCATCACTCTAGTAGTCGCACGTTAGCTATTAGCTATTTTGTTTTGTTTGCACTGTTGTCTTACTTTTGGCGATATCGCTTGAGAGTCATCTGATGGCAGGACCTTTTCCGCAAACTGTAAGCATTCTTGTTTTGTCTTGAATACAAGAGAGTAATATTGGATGGAACTCACCACCCAATAAATGCACTTTTCGCCTTTGAGCTGTTGCTTCTTCCATTTTGTCTCAACTTTCCCCTTGTCCCAACCGCATTCGACTCGTTGGGATACAAGGCATTTCAGATGAATGTCCGAATTAGGATCCCAGGGGAACAAAGTCACTTTTGAACTTGAGCCCATTATGATCTTAATACGCAATTGATTGTTGGAAGTATAGGAATTAAGAGGTCCAATCTCGAGAAGACTACGTGATGATTTATAAGCTGAAGTTATCATGGCCCGAATTACCTAGGTAACGAAAGCTAAAAATCTAACCAATCCCAGTCTCTTGTCAACCACTTATCGAGCGCAATATAAGACATGATTCAAACCAAATATAGCCCCAACCTCGGAATCATTAAGCTGAAAATTATTAATTGTTGGCAGGCCACTTTCTGCGCAAAAGCTAAACCTATTTGAAGTATGTCCTTATTCTGCTTTCGACATGTTCTGTTCAGTCTGATTTGTTGACAACGGCTTGGTCTCTTTCTCTAGCTCCGAGGTCACAGGTGATTGAACATTCTCACCTGTGACTAGCTGGTGGTCGAGCCGAGCTTTTTCCTCATCCGTGGCACCGGTGAGGTTAACAGCAACCTCCTCGCCGAAGTTTTGGGCAATTTCCTCTAAGGTGAGACCAGCAGTCTCAGGGAAGAAGAAGTAGATGACTATAATTTGTTAGCGGGCTTTTAGTTCATGAGTCGATCTTGCTACGATTGGGAAGAAAACATGCCTGGAATGAAGAATGCAGACCAGCAAATAATGACAAGATAGTATTTCCAACCAACGTTGCCGAAGCCCATGGGGGCAGTTTGCAGGAGGATGAGGGTGGCTAGGGATGTCAGTTGGAATTTGGAGGCGCAATTATAACAACTTACAAGCAAATTGACCGAAGAGGGAGAAGCCCATGCCAATTGGACGGATTTCGGTCGGGAAAATCTCCGAAACATAGAGGTACATAGTGGTGTCGCAGAAAGTACTGCAGGAATGTTAGCTCAATGTACTCGGCGATTTTGATATGTTGAATCTTGACTCGCCCTTGGAAGGCCAGATAAAGGTACATGAAGAAGATACCGAATCCATTTCCGACCTTGTTGGTTGTACCGGCGTACTGGGCAGTCATAGCAGCTAGGCAGGATGTAGAGATGATAATACCGACAAAGCCGGTCATGTACATGCCGCGCCTAGAGTTGACTTTATCATGGAGCCAGGCGCCTAGAGGATTGTAGATCAGACCTGAGCCAGGTTAGCAAACGAGGTACATAGTAGATCCTGGATGTTCATCCTCACCAGCTGTCGTAAGCCAGACAGCACTCAAGAGCAGAGGCATACCGCCCTCCATTCCCAAGTTTGTGTATAAAAGAACGGCATAGTTGTTCTAGCTGTTGTCAGCGGGATATACCTTCCAATTAGGTATTGCTACACTCACGATGATTAAAGGTCCGCCAAATTCAGCGCCCCACTGCGTAAGGAATCCGATAGCCATCCGCTTTCTGTATGCCTTCTTTGTAACGACAGCCTTCCACACGTTACCATAAGTAGCCAATCTCTCAGCCTCGAGTCGGATTTGCTCTTTCGTCTGGAAGAACTCCTCCTTGGCAGCCAAGTTGTCCGGGTCATCTGGTGATTGACGGAGCCGTTGGAGAACATGCTGCGCTTCGTCGAACTTACCCTTCGAAATCAACCAACGGGGTGAACGCGGGAGCCAAGGAGATCCCAGAAGCAGCACCAACGCGGGCAAACATTGCAAGGCAAGGGGGAATCTCCAGCCAAACCCAGACAGGGGGCCTGTTGCATAGTAACAAGCATAACCCACCCATCCTGAAAGCATATATCCAAAGACCAGGAAAATAGCGTGGTGACCAACAAGCCAGCCACGGCGCAGAGCACTCGACATTTCGGAAAGATACATCGGACAGACGGTTACAAGGATACCGATTCCAAGCCCGCAAACAAAGCGGCCGGCCTGGAACATGCTGAAAGCTATCAGCACCAGTCCAATTTTAAAGCAGCGGAAGTGACATACGCCAGTGAATTAGAGCCGGCCTGAAGTGCTCCTCCGAATAGTGAAAAAAAGGCACCGAACTGGATGTTTGCCTTTCGGCCAAAGAAATCACAAGACCACATTATAAAAAGTGTACCAACAGCGCCACCAGCACTGAAAACACCGTTCGCTGTCGAGATCGCGGGGGTAGTGATGGTCGCGTATCCCGGTTCACCCTCAGCGGGTAGACCGAAGTAGGCATACCATCCTGGCTGGCCGATTGTACTAGAGATGATCGAAGAGCAATATCCATATGTCTATTTGTGCAAGCTTAGTGAATATCTACCAAGTGAATATATATGCGAGCTCACCATTGACCCAATAGCCACAAAAACGATAACCAGCCTGTTATAAGAACTGGTTTGAGACCCGAACCCACCCATGATGGTCTGTTGTAGTTCCTACAACTCTCAAAAAGAAAAAGTTCAAGGGTATACAATAAAGGATGCCAGCATCAAGTTAGAATGAGGGAAAAATTTCAGCATGTCTGTAGCCGCCAACAAGTAAGGGGGGTACTCGTAGGGGTGTTGCTCTGTGGAGTTGTGGCCCACTGAGATGCAGAAAGTTTGTAGAACACGACTGGCTTGCCGATCACGGCACACGAACTTTTGAGTCCAGACCTTGAAATTGCCTATTATGAACATGTTAGTAGTTAAGCAATTCTGATTTGCCGAGTGAAAATTCAATTCCCACATTCTGTATGTATGTAGCTGTAAGTAGTTGTAAGTAGCTGTATGTACCCGGATTTTAGGCCCCCCCCCCCCCCCCCCCCGACTTCCCCGATTAGAGTGCCGCTTTAAGCACTCAGGGTCCTACTCACTAACCTCGGGAGTATTTCACAGCATAGAGTTAATTGTGGAGTACTAAGTGACCGCCATCGCCTTAGTATCCTTCCCAGAAAACAAATAGTATAAGTATCACACCTAAGGCTATAAAGAGACCGATGGTTGTTGCCAAGCCCTAATCCTTTTTTATACCACTCTATATCATAGCGAGAAGCAGTATGAAAATAGTGCACTGTATTAAAGAGGGTTTGAAGAAGAAGAGCATAGAGAACAATGTCAGAGCACCCAGAGGAAGGTTAACCCAGAAACACCACCGCTAGGTTGCCTCCTCCGTAAAAGCACCGCCTATAATTGGTGCTAGGATTAGACCTATAACAAAGCAACTGGTATATATGCCTCTAAATAGCGGGTTAGCTTCTCGGAAGAAATAGTGAGAACAATAATAAACCCATCACTGGCGACACCGGACGCCCCAACGCCTGCCACAGCACGGCCCACGATGAAGGTTTTACTAGTTGGAGCAAAGCCACATATAAGGCTGCCGACCATAAATATGGAAAAGAATATTATATAAACCTAGCGAAGGGGAAACGTTGAGCTCAGCTTTCCTGCCAGGGGAGTCAATGCACATGTCGTGAGTGAATACCAGGCCAGAGGGATGTATCCTTGAAGTCCGATGCGATAGATGGAATAGCCTAACCATGGGGTGTCAGATACACTTGAAGCTTTCTGATAGCGAGTGGGAGCGGTAGGTACTGTTGCGATGACGAAAAAAAGTCCAAGGACATTAGGAAAGCACCGAAGCATATACCTATAAAAATGGCATAGAGCTTGAACCCGTGCATCGCCGTCGAGTTTGTCCCCGGTCACTCAGTACTGTTCGCATGCTGAGGTTGGGCAGTACTGCCAGCAGCATCTTCTGGAGAAGACAAAGCCATATTCGTGTGGTGGAATATACCTGGGAATAGGCAAATGCGTGGATTGCACACAGAGTGTGCTGGACTGGCGACGTAAATCACTCGAACTAAGACCAAAATTGCCGGTTCTTCACTGTACATCCCTGCTCAAGTTAAAACCTCCCTACCTGGAGGGACACGTTAGAAAATTGGGTGGTCGTTGAATCCTGACTCTCTTCTAGTCGGCCCCGGGCGCCCCCCGGGGGCATCCGTCCACGGGGGTCCACGGGTGGACGTTTAATGCTTATCTACGTAAGTATGTAAAACTCAGGAATGTGCTCAGTTTTACCCAGCGAACAAAAAGCGGCGAGGGGCGAGCACTAAAGCGGAAAGTGAAAGCCGTATTGCGCGGCCTCAAATTCAGGTTATACGTTGGGTTGGATGTTCTCCGTGAAGCTGCAGTTGCGGAGTCATATTATAATGGGGATCCGGTCCGAGCCCATTGAGTCCATAATTTACACCTCCACTACGACGCCAGAAAAAAGATCCTCGCGGTTCATGCTAGTACAAAATAGTTAGTTGCACAAAGTTCTATTTATGAGAATACGGCGTTCCGGTCCCTATACTTTTTGCTCACAACTCCGATACGACAATAGAACAGCGGAACTATGGCCCAATCCCCTTTTGATACCCCGTTTGACCAGCTCCCGAATCCGAAACAGGTTTGGCTAGGAAAGCCAGGTAGCTATGAAGAGGGTCTAGGAAAACTAGCTATTCTTACCCCTGAAGTCGTTGCTGCAGCTTCCACCAGCGAGATCAGATGTGGTCGACGGGTCACGATGGGATGGGAGATGACGAAATTGGATTTTCCTAACCTCAACCGCCAGCCATGCCATCATCAGATTGTGCCTCTTCTAGGAGGGGTGGCATTCGATGATATCTATACTATGAACCCACGTGAGTGGAAATGAATTCTGCGTTTCTCTCTTCTGTTTCTTTTACAATATATTGATCGTTTGACAGAGCAAAGTAGCCAGTGGGATGGCCTCCGTCATTTCTCTCAGACAGTGCCTGGTCAATCTGAACGTGTGTTCTATGGTGGAACAACCAGTGAAGAAATCAATGATCGCCAAACTGATCGAATTGGTCTCCAGCATTGGGCCCGAGAGGGCATTGCAGGTACTCATCCCCTTTACATGAATCCCCTGTTACCATCTCACACAATTGCAATAGGACGTGGAGTCTTGATCGACTACGCTACATGGGCTGAGAAAATGGGGATTAAATACACCACATTCTCGACCCACCAAGTGCGTTTTGCCGACATCCTCAAAATTGCCGAGGAAAACAACATCACGTTCCAAAAGGGTGACATACTTTTCGTTCGTATAGGAGTGACCAAGGAGTGGGACACATCCATGACAGACACTCAAAAGCAAGCTTATTCGGATAATCCCAGCCCAGAGCATGCTGGAGTCGAGGCGACCACGGAAGTCCTCCGCTGGCTGTGGGACACGGGATTCGCCGCCATCGCCAGTGATGCAATCAGTTGGGAGGTGAGTGACAAGAAAAATAGACCCCAAAATTCTCGCAAGTCAATCAAGGAAAGCAACTGACAGACCCACAGGTTTACCCACCACAATCTCCTGACATCTTCCTTCATGAATATGTGCTTGCTGGATGGGGAATGCCGATCGGTAAGTTGCCGGAGCGTTTTCCTCCGAGCGTTTTTATCCGAGTTCCACATATACATTATATTGACTAATAAACAACAGGGGAACTATTTGATCTTGAGGCGTTGGCACGCACCTGCCAAGAACTCCAGCGATGGAGCTTTTTCGTGGCATCCGTGCCTTTGAACATGCCCGGTGGGGTTTCCTCGCCTCCGAATGTTATGGCTATTTTCTAGGTGCAGATAATCTGCGGTTAGAACATGTATTTTAATATACTCCGTACGGAGTAGTTTGTCACAGAGCTAATCAAGCATCCGGTAGTCATTGCTGGCACCTGGGCAGGCTTCCTATTGACCGGTTATTGACTCAGATGGTTCCGCCCCGCTCCAAGTGTGAATGTCATGATAGCAGATCCTGTTTCAATAACCGTTTAGCATATACTATGAATAATGATATGCGGTGAAATTACCTAGCAGAGATAAAATAAAGAAGACCGAAATGTGGGTTTTGCCTCGTATTTTTGACTTCAGTTTTCCTTCAAAGCCAGGCTGCCAAAACTTACTCAACTTTCCACCATCCTACAGAGGGCGGGTCGTGCGATCCACAATAAATGTAAGCTCCACTTTAGTCGACGAACTTGCATCTCCAAATGTGCCCTCGTGGGTCAAAAGTGACATCGGGAAATCCTGCTCTACGTAACCATGGTTGATGGAGCGGTTGGGGTCCACTTCCCGTATAAACTTAACTCAATTCCAAGTCTAGAACTTCTAAGGTTACAATGTTACAATTAGAAAATATTAAATAATATGGAAGATTTTTTATGCATCTATATACTTCGACAGACGTCTTGTTATAAACATTTTGATTAACTTGGTGTCGGCAACTTCAACCATTTTGATGCAGGTTGAGTGGCAGGTCTATGAAAGCTTGAATGCACGCCACCATGGATCTTGCATGCAATTTCTCCACGGTACACCAGGGACTAAACTTTGTACAATGTATACATACGAATTATGAGAGCATATTACATTGTGGTGCCAAGCAGAGAAAAAGGTTAGCGAACCATACTGCCAAGGAACGAATCGTTGTCAAACATTCTATTCTTCACGGACCTCGTGCATCAACAACTAGTTCCGGATATCTGTTTACAGTTTGTGACGGATAATAAAGTCCTGTTTGTTCTTCTTCTGTTTCAGGGGAGCCAGCCGATCGTGGGTGATCAATAGTCCGATTTCAACCATGCAGCTCGTCAAAGCATGTCAGTTTAAAATTTTCAAACAAGGATTTTTGGAAACTATTTTAGGACCCTTTGTTTTCTAGGCTCTTGGCTAAAGAGGCCATTATATTATTTTATTGTTTAAAAGAGGGAGCTGTCTTGAAATGCCTGCCCCCCGTTACTAATTCAAGAGTTACAGGAGTCTGTGATGCATTCCATGCCGTTGCTCGAACGGGGCTCTGAGGATGCGTCCATTGATCAAAGTGTTCAGCAGTGGAACTATGCCTGCCAGTCATTATGTATCATTGGCATGACAGGCTTCTTCGGTCTTCGTGTTTATACTCGAATGTTCATTCTTAGCGGATTTGGGAAGGAAGATTGTGAGTGAAATCTTTGCATGAAAGTCCACAGAGCACAGAAATGCTAACATCCTTTAGTGACATGTACAGTTGCCTGGGTAGGACTTCTATGTGGAAAGAGGGCAACATAGGCTAACAGAATATCTATAGTTCCTCGGTGTCTGCTACTCAATCATTGCCCTCCTCAGTATGTCTCTAGTACCACAGGCGACAAGCTGTATCTAACGCAAAGACAGTGGGTTATTATGGAGGAGGTTTACACTGGTGGGATGTCCAAGATGAGAACAAGATTCCTTTCCAGAAGGTATGCTAAGCCCTTGCACGCTTGACCATTCTAACTACTGACTCTCTAGACTATCTACGTAACAATGATCATGTATGGACCAACAGCCTATCTCACAAAAGTGTGCCTCCTCTGGATCATGACTCGTGTATTCAGTCCCTTCCGAAAATGCGTCATCTTTATTAGGATTTTTATGGGGGTCATGTTAGCCTACTACATCCCAGCTGTCATTGTCAAAATCCGAATATGCAGCCCCATCGCCAAATTCTGGGACCAGCGTATTGACGGCACATGTTTAGACCATACATCGATCATATTGGCTGATTCCGTCGTCAGCGTGGTCAGTGATATGATCGTCCTCATTTTGCCATTGCCCTTGACTTTGACTCTGCAAATATCTACAAAGAGAAAGATGCGGGTTAGGGCTATTTTGGGGGCGGGCGGATTGGCTGTTGCAGCCAGTATCATCCGATTGGCACTTATCGTCATTACAGGACAGTCGAAGGACATTTCTCGTGCATTTATGAGAATCAATATGCTAGGGTATATTTCTCTCGGCCTATCTTTCTGACTAAATATTCTAACCGAGAAATTCTTTCTAGTAATGCGGAAGTCTCCATCGGCATTATCTGCACTTGTCTCCCTTCGCTCTCAGCTCTCATAATCCGCATCTACCACGAATGTTCCAGTAACAAAGCAACCCTCGAGTCTGACTACAAAATGAGCACGATGCGAAACCAGGGCACAATGGACCGAAACAAGAATCAAATGAGTGTTGGGGCGACGGCAGACTCGGATGAGGATGTGCTCATGTACAGTGCACAGGGAAATCCGAAGATCGAAACAATCATCCATGGTAATAGTGAGCAAGGAGGTCAGCCGAAATTGACTTTTGATGGCATAGGAGTGACTCGATCTGTTAATGTATCAACTTCTGCGGGGCCTCGGTGATATAGATCACAGTCTCAGTTTTGTTTTGGACAATAAAACAACCCTGGAAACCATCAACTATAGAGCAGGGTCAATACATATTTCATGTGTATAATAAGATATCTCTTGTTCTTTGTGATTAATATACGTATCATATACTGTTGAGAAGAAGCCGAGTCCTGCATTATGCCT